AGGAATCATAGGAAAAAACACCCCTATGCGTAAACAGAACTAAAAGGCAAAACATCACAGAGATAACAGTGGAGAGATTAAAATGCAGAAACATTTACAGTTAGTTTTTGCTGAATATAGCTATACTAATAATTGTACCTAAGACAGCGTAACTACATAGACAAGTAAAGAGAGTCTTAAAGCTGTAAATGACAAAGAGGAAAAACACCAAAGATAAAAAGATACAGTAGGAGATGCAGTCAGATGTCTGTACTCAAAGTTTGTTTTCCTCCTGTTTCCCTAACTCTCTCCTTCAGGTTCAGGTGATCAGTGCAGGCCATGTTATAATTAAGGCCAGAGGAACAAATAAAAGAACAGACTGAGAAGGGAAATGTCCCATTAGAAGGACTATATTTTATAGTGTAGCTCCCCTTCCATGAAAAAGGATGGAAACACCAGGTGGCCTCACCTACAAACACCAGAATAAAATCTACCATGCTGCATTCAGAGTTGCGACAGGTTAGCCAAAAGGATTACTTGAAACTTAGCTAAGCTGCTGCAAAGTCCCGTGCAGACAAAAGGAATTCACATTTAACTCAAGTCCAGGTTAGTTTGGCTCTTCTAAATTATTTATCTTAAGTCCATAAACTAGCATTTATCAATTTAACTTCAGTTTCCACATATCCTTTTCTTTTTTTTGCCAGTTTAAATAAATGTTTCAACAGGTTTAAAGCTAATTAAGTGCAATTTTACACAGAAAGCTTTTTGAGCAAAGACCATAAAACCAACTATTGCTATGCAAAAGATAAGCAGCTATTTCTAACTGGTATAATAAATCAATATGCAATAGGTGCATGCACTGCAACTCCAATGTCTTAATATATATATATTTGTTCTCATAGGTACTGGCAGCGGACTGGAAAACAAATCGACCAGTCCTGCTCCAACTACAAAACACCCTGAAACAACCACACCAATAAAAGCAACTACATCTAGTCCAAGCCCCAGTTTACCAAGTACTACAAGTACTACCACAAAAGCAACAACTACCAAAGGGACCACTACAGCTCAGAAAGATACTCCTGCGACAACAGCGGCACCAACAACCAAGGCAGATTCTCCCACCACCCCCAAACCTGAAGAGACAACCCCTGCAGCCACAGAGGCACCAACAATCAAGACAGATAATCCCACCATCCCTACGGTAGAAGATATGACCCCTGAGGCCACAGAGGAACCAATAACTGAAGCAGACTCTCCCACCATCCCCAAAGCTGAAGAGGCAACCCTAGAGGCTACAGAGACACCTACGATCAAGAGTGACTCTCCTACCACCACCAAACCTGAAGAGCAAGCCCCTGAAGTAACAGAGGAAACAATGACTGAGGCAGACTCTTATACCAGCCCCCCAGAAGATGAAGAGAAGAATGCTGTGCCCACAGAGGCACCAACGACCAAGGCAGACTCTC